GCGGGAAAATGCATCAAAAAGCGGGGGTGTCCCACCAAAAGCGGGACGTCTGGTCACCTTAAGAATGTAGTAACTATACTGATTAATTTATCAAGAGTTAAGTCTAATTATTTATGTGCAGAGGTGGTATTCAGCAAGTTCTGACCAGTTCTGGAGAACCGGTAGTGGAAATTTTGAGTAGTTCAGAGAACCGATAAATACCACCTCTGACTGGCCCCACCCCCATCTATTCTCTGTCTCCGAATCCCATCTGATCAGGAGGCAATGGGGATTTTGCAGTAGCCTTCCCCTGCCATGCCCACCAAGCCATGCCCACCAAGCCACCCCCACAGAACAGATAGTAAAATAATTTGAATCCTACCACTGTTTATGTGGACATTCTGAAGCTATTACCCAAACTCAAGAAAATATACTTTTCAGGCCATCAGGCAGAGGACTTCATTGCTAGGCAAAAAACCCATAGATTCTATTCATCTGTTATTATCAGAACTCCAATAGACATCTGGAAAGGTGGTGTTTCAGGGGTATGAAAATAAATCTTAGATTCACTGAAGCCCCATGGATACAGTAAGTATAGATTTAATTGTACATTCTCCTCCATTCCTATGATTAAGGAGGGGGACAACGAGGAAGCAGAAACAAAAGAAGAATGAAAAAACTGCCTCACTCCCACAAATACAAATAGAATGTCTATTCTGGTTGATAAAAGCTTTATATTTTAAGAAATGCTTGTAGAATCATAGAAACATAGAATCACCCCGCCCCCTTGGTTTCTATGTGATCGAATATAAAAATGGTTAATGCCTATCCATGCAGAGATAGACCTCAGCAAAAATATTTATTATTTATTATTTAAATTATAGAGCAGGAAGGAACTTTGACAATTTTATAATTGGTCAAGGCGGGAGTCTTATAACATTCTAATCCAATGGCTGTCTGGTCTGTTTTTAAGCAGACGGGGATGGAGCATTCCACAACCCCAGGAGGCAAACTATTTCATTGATCAATTGTTCTCACTGTCAGAAAATGTCTCCTTACTTCTAGTTTGTGTCTCTCTTTGAAAAGCTTACACCCATTATTTCTTTCCTACCCTCTAGTGCCGTAGAGAATGAATCAATCCCATCTTCTTGTG